GAACTAGCTTATAAACCAAGACCTGAGGGACCCCACCTATACACTTATATATTTTGAGTCAATATTTTGAATCAGAGAAAGGTACTCTGTCCTGAAAGTCAGTTATATGTTGTCGTAACAAATACTGTGAAACTCTTATTCTTAACAGTACATTCCAAATATTCCTCCACTCAGCTGAATTGGATACATTCTTACTTTGTTTTTTGGGTATTCACATTTAGAGAAAAACACGATATTTAACACGAATACACAGAAACTACACAAGCTCACATGCATTTTACACAAAACCACAAACACGTAAGCATCGAAAACAGTTGCTGCTGTTAAAACAATTGCAGCATGCAGCAATAAATTGCAGCAACTGTTGTCTTGTCATGTGAGCAGCACACGTACATACACAGTGGCAATTGTGAACACTCTTTAGAGCTATGAAATATGATCTCAGCTCACAATTCGCACATGAATGTCATTGGCAAGAGACACATGATACGAGTATCTAACATTGCAAATGAAAGTATCTCCACAATGAAGCAATGCAGTGCACAAGAATTAGATAATTTTATGCTACAGAAATAGTGACACTGCAATTATTTAAATGTTATATAAACGATATCTTAAACTGGCATCAGTTATTTTTCATCTCACGAAAATTTTAATCAGGAAATTTTTTATAAAAAAAAATTCTAATAAGAAAATTCAATTTTCAGAGCAATATCACTTACCTTTTTAGTGAGTATTTGTGGAATTATAAAAAAATTTCTGTAACGAAAAGATAAAAGATAATTAAGGTTATGTTTCTATAAATTTAAATATTTATAAAATTATTTTTATTTAAATATATTTATTTAATTTATTTATAATAAGTATAATATAAGAAAGTAATGTTTAGATTTTTTAAAAGAAATGTCGGAATTTTTAGAATTATGTCAAGAATGATTAAAGGTCATTCTATTTAAGAAATAATTTTGAAAACTAATATTAATTCATATACATATTCACTTCATTATAACATCACTATAACTTACTTATACGGTATGGTCTTTAGTGTTAAGTCGCTCAATAAATAATAAAAAATCCCAAAGTGCATAATTTTTTAAAATGAGTAACTGCCATTAACACCACCTCACGAAACTAGACATCTTAACGAACGCAAACTGTAGATTCTGCGAAGAGATTGACGAGTCAGTCACATGTGCTGTTAGAATGTTATAATGCTAATGCACACACGGAATATGTTAGACTACTGAGAATGTACGGAAGTGGCCTCTAACTGAAGAGGCAGATTGTAAAGCAAATTTCTTGTTACTTTTTACCGACGCAACAGAGCTCAGAGAGAGACAACTCTAAGCCCTGAAGACGGCCCAATGCTTCCAAAGATCGCAATGTCATATGCACTCTCAATAATAATAATAATAATCTGCCATTAAGAAACAATATTACGGTGTTTTTAACACACGCATTAGTGTAAAGCAACGATAAACGAATAAAATTCCGCCGGTACTAAATGAAGCCAGGCATTTTAATACAGTTTTCTCCTTAGGTGGAAAGCGGGCCTATCTAACATCTATTCTTTGGAGTGCACTAAACAATTCTAAAATGCTAATCGAATCATACTTCTAAATACAGCCAATCTAACTGCGTAATTTTGGGTTTCAATCACAGCAACCATGCTACTTCCACAGAAAAGGCCAACCTGAATTGGTCAGGAATTTATCTATGAACTGCAAAAATGATGACATCTATAAGAAGACCAAAATATTGGTGTAAAAAAACATAATACTCATCACAATATTTTCCAACATTGGTTTGAATGAATCTAAGCTTATAAGTAAGCTTATCTCTACTTATACATTATGTATATTGGTAAATAATATATATTATATGTTGTATATATCTACTAACAACAGACTATGTTGCATTTTCATTCCCAATCAATCATGCGGATTACTTTCGTTGCTTAGCGCACATCACAAACACTCCGAAAGTAATTTTATCTTTATCCGGGCGCTTCACTGACTATCAAAACAGTGTCTGCTTCTCTTTATCTACTGACAGATTTGCTTAAAAATATCAAATTTCTGCTGCAAATTCATATTAATTTTTACGAGCAACATGCGCTGAAAGAAATTGCTATAAAAACTAAGTACCAACGTCGAAATTTGCATTTTAATAAAAGCAGTTCACGAAGTTATTTGCGTGTTGCAAGTACTTTTCTTTTTCAACTTAGTACAAAATATTTAAATATAAAGTTGATTCGGATTGATTAAAAAAAAAGGGATAATTTAAAAGCACCCCAAGCAGGCTGCAGCAAGATGGTATTGCTGCGCCATTGTGGCTCAATGGATGACAAAGTGATTTGGCCAGTGCAAAGCTATAACCGGGCAACGATATCAATTATCAAAGTGTTAATATTATTCGTACTTATACCGAATGTTGCTGCTATAACCATACCAACGACATCAAATATTGTCGGTACAACATTTCCAACAAGTAATTTTCAAAGCAATTATGATGCAGCAACACTTTCTGGATTATCGAAGGCCACAGGATATGAACCGAATTATTATAGTAATACGGAAACGGCGGATGGAAGCATAACAACAACTAACGCG